TTTTTTTTTTTTTTTTTTTTTAACTCTGTGTAGAGTTTAATGTGCAGCTGGTTCTTATTGATCAGAGATTTCCAGCCTGAACTATTTAAAGTCTTTTGTTTTTGTGGGCAGCAGAACTGGCTGGATCTTTCAACATGTCCACAAAGTTTAGCTCCGTCTGACTCAACTGTTCTGTAGCTGAGGGGAAAAAATACTTTTTCATTGACCGCCGTCGTCGATACTCCTGTTTGTTTACGTTTGAGAAGCAGGTTATCTGGAGTGACTTTCTGAAGTAAAACACAGTTGAAGGGTTGAGCTTTGGTCTGTTTTACCTTCATCAGTATAWAAAACCAGACAAATGCAGTTTTTTCACTGTTACTGATTGATTATCTCATCACAGCAATGACCTCATCTAGCTACTGAAACAGAGCGCTGAAGTTTAAACAAGTTCTTGTTTTATTAGGTTCACGCTGCCTGTTTGTTTCTGTTAGCAACATTTACCTTATGAAATATTCAACAGGTTTTAATGAAGCTTTCAGAAAATCACTCATTGGATGTTCCTCTACAACTAATTATCCTTTAGAGTCAGTTTTCAAGATGTGTTGCTTGTTTTTTCATTTCAAAATAAAATTGCAAAAAGAAAACAACCACGTTGTAAATGTAAAAATGTGTAATTGAATTTAAAAAATCCATATTTTAAATCCAAAATAAAATATAAGGCTGTTTTCATATGTAGCGATACCGGAAAGTACAGAAGTCGTCAAAGAGAGTCTATAGTGCAGGGATAGCCAATCCTGGTCCTCGAGTGTTGCTGTCCTGCATGTTTTACATGTTTCTCTGCTCCAACACACCTGATCTGATTGAATGGTGATTAATAGGCTTCTGCAGAACTTGGAAGAGGTAATTCAGTCTCTGAATCAGGTGTGTTAGAGCAGGGAAACAAGTAAAACATGCAGGACAGCGGCACTCGAGGACCAGGATTGCCTACCCCTGTTATAGTGGCTGAAGATGACTGCTTAAAAACTTAAATATTCCCAAAAATGTTGGCAGTGGCTGCACTCGAACCATATTCTGCATAGTTTGGTATATTAAAGCAATTTTGTTCACAGGAAGATCAACTTCATCTAAATAGGACTTTTGTCTGTTTCTATAGTGCAAAGTGAAAACGTAATGCTCCAGAAGTTCAGGCTATGATGATTTCCAGTTCCGCCAAAAAGTAACAAATGATGCTCTAACAAAACGTAAAGCTTGTTTTTGCTTTAATTTTTAAAATGTGAAATAACAAGAAAATATGTCACCTTTTTTAAAAATTTGCTATTGTGATTTATTGCATTTAGTTTTAAAACAAAAATTTGAAAAAACTCCCGATTATTCATTTTTCTTTTATTTTTTATTTATTTAAAAAAACTATACAAGGATTCATAGCCGTCTATTTTTTGCAGTTGTCATTTTTGAATTTAGTTGTAAAACAAAAAAAAAAAAAAACCCCGATTTTTTTTGTTACTTTTCTCTCGTTTTATTTTGAAACAGAAAAACCGAAGAACGAACCATACATGGATTATTACTAAACACAAAAATGGTTTTAACTTTGCCAGTCTTACAGATATTGAGCTAAAGTTTGGTGTGGTAGTAGCTGAGAGTCATCCTCAACACAAACTGAGTGCCAACAGATCTCACACATGCAACCAGTTCATCATGAGAGGATCGTAGTTTAACACTGTAGTAACGAATACATATCAGCAAACTCAGGATTATCTCATTTGTGAAAAAAAACTGCAAGACTTCAAGTCTTCACCATCATTAATTCAGCTTTATGTTATTTCATCTTAACGGCATAAATCCTTTCATTGTTCTCAGACACACTGTTTGGGGAAACGGCGCTTCAGAACATTTTTTTTCAACGTCCGATGAATCTCTCATGACATCCGTAGTGTTTCTCTGCGCTAACCGCTTCCACATGCTGCGTATTATCTCACAGAACTTCCTTTTTTATCTGCAGACATCATCGTAACGACCAACGGAGAGCCGGTTACGTCAAAGGAAATTAAGTCCTGCATCAACTCGATCCAGGAGCTGATAGTGCTGCGTTTGAATCAGGCCGTGGCGAACAAGCTAATCAGCTCTGTGGACTATCTGAGGGAGAGCTTTGTGGGAACCCTGGAGCGTTGTCTCAGCAGCCTGGAGAAATCCAACATCGACTCCTCTGTTCACAACATCACATCTAATCATCTGAAACAGGTGAGGGGGAGGAGTTAATTAATGTAGCGCTCAAAARGCTCTGAAGTGACTAAATAACCTCATGTTTTTGTGTCTGAGGTGCTTTCAGGAACAAGTGGTAAAATGAGATCAGACTGGCCTGAGGCCTCTGGACAYTTAGATAACATTTATAAAAACTCTGCTCATCTCTGGTTTGTCACAGTTATTAAATGCTGCCTATCATGTGGAGGTCACCTTTCATTCAGGGTCTTCTGTCACAAGATTCGTCTGGGAACAAATCAAGCAGGTCAGCTTTCAGAGATGGAGTGGTGACAACGAGCAGTGGTTGATGATGTCCTTGGCGGGGAGTCGTAACGCGTTTCCTCTGCCCCTCCTGCAGATAATCCACAGGATAACGTTTGTCAACACGCCCGCCATCACTCCAGAGTGGAAGCGAAAAGTCGCCCAGGATGCCATAGAAAGCCTGAGCGCCGCCAAGCTGGCTCGAAGCATCTGCTCCCAGTTCAGAACCCGACTSAACAGCTCGCACGAGGCCTTCGCCGCTTCTTTACGCCAGGTTACGTTTCAGTTCTTTTTTCATTTCATGTTTGTTTACACGACTGCCATCATTGTCAGTAATTTCCCACTAAATTCACATTTTTTTATTTGGTATTTTTTAACTAACAGGAGTTTAGACAACTTTATTTTTTAGTGGCTCTACTAATTTTATTTTATGCTTTAAATCTAAAATTTAACTAATCGCTAAGCCCTGCCCCTCCATTTAAATGATAGGATATTTTCCTGATTAAAATAAAAATACAGTTTAGTTTCTCCAGATCTTGATTTTTGTTGATTTATGTTGTTTCTACCTTACTGCTGTAAGTTCAGTTATGTGTAATAAAATAAATTAAGTTTCATTTTGTTGTTAGAGGCTTTAAACAGTGTTACTCTGTGATTGACAGCCTGTTGGTGAGTTGTGAGGTTATGTAGGTGGGACTTTCATACCAAGCAGGCTTTTAMGTAGGATTGTGGAAGGAGGCAACAACACTTTCAGCCAGGACAGATTTAACGTTGGGAAGTCTTCCTCTGGCTTCATAAAATAATTGCGGCTGGTCACCACCACTCCTCTTACAGAGCACCTGAATCCACKATTTGTTTTGTCCTCCTCTCAGGCCAAAAGTATAAAAACCCTCCAGTTTTTTCTGACTGAGGCTCAAAGGCTACGCTCACATTGCAGACAAACCCGATCTTTTTTTTTTTGACCCATCTGTCTCATATCCGATTTTTTTATGACAGTCTGAACGAGGCAAATCCGATTTTTTCAAATCCGACCCAGGCCGTTTCAGTGGTTTTAAATCGGATATATATCWGATGTTTTCAAAGTGACTGCAGTGTGAACGCTCATGTCACATTCATCTGACTTTTTCATCAGGAGGAGGGGGTGAAGGATCGATAAGACACTAACCTCAAGTCTCGCTGTGTTTACAGCTCCAAAACACAAGTCCAGTTGCTTCATCTTTTTACTTTTCATTTTCCACGTAGAT